AACTCAGCATAAAATTTAATGTTCTATTATCTACTCTGCTACTTATATTATCTCTAATAAAGTCTTTTACAAATATAACTATAACTATCAATACTTATCTTACAGCACTTTATTATATTTATCTCTTAAAAAGCTAAATTATATTATTAAACTTATTAAAAAACTTACTTATCTTTAATATTAATTAAGATATTTCTCAAATTAACAAACAGTCACAATGTGACCTTCAACTACTTATTTTTATCTATTTATATTATATCTAACTATAATTTAAACATGCTTACTCTATTTGAAAACAACTCTTTTATAGCTATTATTTTGAAAACTTTCCCCTATTCTGTTACCAAATTAATCAAACTATTGACAAAAAATGTGTTACTTTTACAACACATTCTATTCAAGCTATTAATAACATCCTTAATTACTACTATCAACCTATTCATTTTCTAATATAAAACTATCTAATAAACTTATTACTTTATTAGCATGTTGTACTAATTACAACCTTATATTCACTAAACAACACTACTTAATAAGTATTTAAATTTAGTATTTTTAAAGTATTTAAAATAATAATTGCTTATTAAGAATTAAATTTTATATTTATTAAATACTTAATTTTTCAATCTAATTCTATCAAAATAACTTGGTCTACTCTAAATCTACCTTTAACAAATTTTTTTTTAATACAACCAAATTAATATTATCACATCTATTTTCAAATTTTTTTTTCTTTTATCAACTTTATTATACAAATTATCAACTATTCTATATCTCTCATTAAACCACTCTTTAATAACCTTCTTTCTTTAAAATCTCTCCATCTACCTTAGGTCTTTTACAGCTTCTCTCAACTTCTGATCACCCTATACCAAACTACTATTCTCTCTATTTATTTTACAATCTAACCAACAAACCAAATGACCAAACAATCATTCAAATTAATTTTAAAGAAATTTTAGATTTAATCAATATATATAATTATACTTCCTCTTAACTATCTTTTTTATTACAATTACAAATAATTTTATTATTCTATGATACTCAACTTATGCAACAACTCATTCATTTATCTATATATTAAAACCAATTAACTAATCTTAACTACCTTATTTTTTAACTCAATACAAATAAACTACATTTTTATACTGATGGATCAATCAAAAATCTTCAAACTCTAGATATAAAATTTGGTATAGGATAGATTTGTAAATATGACATATTAATAAAATCAATACAGCTATACAATCTTATTTTAACTCAACTTATACTAAACTTGAAACAGTTTTTTATCTTTTATTTGCAGCTTCATCTAATAATTTTTTAAATATCTATATTGATAACATTAAAAATCTTAAACAACCTATCTTTTCCAAACCTATACAAACTAAAAACTGGAATATCATCTGCTATATTAATTATCTCAAACATCTTAAAAACATTATTACCACTTTTTATAAAGTCAAATCACATTTTACAGACTCATTTCACAACCATACAGATTTATTTGCTAAATAAAGAACCTTAAAATCTATTATTAAGCTCAATATTTCAAAGTTCAATATCTCAAATCATTTCTTATAAAACAATCTTCTAACTCTTTTTAAGGTTTATATTTTTATTGAAAACATTATAACTATTCAAGAAATTATCAAATAACCAAATTTAAAATTTTTTTAAAATATTACCAATATTAAATGGTCTCTTCTATTTAAAATTATTTCTTCTCTTAAAGATAATTCACAAAAATACTTCTTTCATATTAAAATTCCTACCAATAATTTACCAATTATACAAAACCTTAATATTCACTATTCTTGACTTTATACTACATCTTATTGTTCCTGCTGCACAAATATTGAAGATACTCTTCACTTGTTTTCATGCTCTAGTAATACTACAAATATTTTAAAATTACTTGAAAACACTATATATGACACTCTTAAATCACTCCAAATTACTAATACAATCTTAACAACTCTATTAAATATCCTTTTAAATTTTACACTTCACTTCCCAAATCCTTAATACAAATATATTTTATATATTATTACTGGAACTTATTTTACTACTATATATAAGAACATCAAAACACTTATCAATAAACAAACAGATAATTTTCTACTCTACCTTTTAAATAATCTACTTAACTGGTATTATTAAGATTTTTGGTCTAACCATAATATATATTAACACCAATAGGAAAACTTTCACAACATCATATCAAAATCCAAACATACCAAAATCAGTTCACCAACTCTACCCAATCCTTCAAACAATACTAAACCTCTTTCTTAACCTATAAATACCAAACCTTTAATCACAAAATGGCTCTTACAAAAATATTCTCTAACAACTTGTATAATTTAATGTTTAGACATTTATTCAAAAGTTTCTTTCAACCTATTCTAGTTAAAACCTAATTTGAAATAATTAGCTATAATACTCATAGGAAATAAGAGATATAATGTCACATTGGGTGCCTAATTGTAGCACAAATGTAGTTTAAAAATCTTTAAATTTAGAACTTATGTTTCTATATATAATAAAGTTTCTATTTGAGCATTATTTAATAAAAAAAAATGTTCTAAACAATTTTACTTAGTAAAATGTAATTAATTTACTTAATAAAATTTTTATTTTGTTATAGAGTACTTATTATAAATTAATTAAAAAATCTGGATGTCATATAATGTTTTTATATAATAAAATCAAAATTTTACCAAGTAAATTAATTATTTACTATTAAGTTAAATTATTCTAAAAATAAAATACATATATTCTAAATTTTATATACAAATAGAACAATTTTATACTAATATTTTTTATTTTCTGTTCAAAAAAATCAATTAGATTTTTTTTATAAATTTATATTTAGTGATTATAAAAAGTAAATATCAAGTAATAAAAATTATCATAATTGTATAAAAATGTTAGTATATATGTATTTTGCTCTTCTGAACAACTTTACTTAGTAACATATAATTGATTTTCTTAATAAAATTTTAATTTTACTATAGAGTACTTATTATAAATTAATTAAAAAATCAGTTATTATAAAATGCACTTATGCTTTAGACTTATACTGGTTTTCAGTTCCTAGTAGATTATAGGTACAACATCTAGTGTAGAACCCTAAGATGGATTACTTAAATAAGCAACTAAAAGTTACATGTGTAACTAGTTGTACCCTTATCTCTGTAAAAATAGTGTAAACTAATTCCAATATATTAATAAAATAATCACCATAAAGTATGATCTTTAATAATAATAAAAAAAATTATCGATTGTGAAGTGACCAAGTTGCAGTTTTCTGAACACAACAATATAAAATACTATAAGTATATTTTAATAATGTATAATTTATTAATATAAATTAATTATTAATTTTGTCATTTGTCATTTGCCTTTAAATAACAAAGTGACAAACAACATATGTCACAATATCATTAGTTATTTGCTTGCCCTGCTGTACGCTACGTACTGTATGTACTGTAGAGATGGGCAAAGTCAGTTACATATTATTACTTAATATTATTTAATATTCCAGTGAAATAGGTAATAATAATTAATTTATAATAATTTTATTCTTAGCAGCAATTTTTCGTTCAATCTCAATTTTGATCACTCGCCTCTGACTGTTATCATGTGTCTTATACGTATACATAATAAGTAATAGAATGTAATAAATATTTAATATTACTAAATATTAAGTAAGGAATAAGTCATAGGTCATTATTACTTACAAAATTACTTTGCCCATCCATAATATACTGTACGCGAAAATTCTTGCCGATGAATCCTATCAACTAATCAGATCGCTAGAATCAACCATACACACTATACGTTCTGTACGTGAAAAAAATTCGAGTATATAAATGGCACAACACTAATCCAGCAGCTCACACTATTCATAATAAAGAAATTGAAATTTTTTTTTGTCAAGAACATTTCATCAACGATAATGATAGTAATTGAAAGTTATTAAACATTAATTATCCGTTTTTAATTACTCCACTAAGAAATATCATGATCCAGAATAAGGATGGGTTCGGTTATACGTAACCATTTAGTCGCAGTTATTAACAGTAACCGATACTAGCCGGTCAGAGCGGCTTGGCTGACCGACATGACTGATGATGATCAGCGTTTTGAATGTAATTTTCACACATTCAAATTTTTCCCACACCATAATGGCATGTAAATACGCCGTGTCAATTATCTTAACTTCTACTAGATTTGGATAAACGAAAACCATTACTTATACTAAAAAAGGACTTTTCAACATAGTGCTTACTAAAATAAGAAAAAATATAGGTGACGGAAAGTTGATCTCTCATATTTCATATTATCGTACTGGTATAATTATATGTTTACTGGCGTTATTTAAGATATCTAAGTTTTGTATAGTATAATATGTTAATCATGGCCATATGAACTAATTTGCATCTTTAAACCTTGTTCAGAGCCACAAGATTACGACAAAATTATAAAATTTCTTTTCATATAAAGAAGCAATCATTGATTTAGATTAATTTGTATTTTCAAATAAACGCATAAAACATTTGCACGCACACATGTACGCACATATATTACAAAAAAATAAATCATTGGGAAAATAATAAAATATTTTATGACTGATGGATATCATTACTGTATAATATCATTATCAAAAAAATAAAAAGAACCAGAAAAAATCTAAAGAAAAAAACGGATTCGAGAACCTTTTTTCCCTTTTAGCTCCAGGATAGCGTAATAATTCACGATTCAATTCAAAATCAATTATATTTCATGCTATATGTTCTTATGCTTTCTATTGTTGAATTATATACTAGCATTATTAATATTTGATAATTATATAAAATGCATGAATAATTCCTTAAATAAATAAAGAAAACAATTAAATTTAATTGTTAATTGCAATGCCAATTATTAAACAATAAATAAAATAAAGACGTTCATTACCAGGAACATAACCAAGTAGTGTCAACAAAATATTAATGAGTAAATCTTTGCCACATCCAAGTTCAAGGAAAACACCAAGTGGCGGAAAAAAAAAGGCGAAAAATGCTTTAAAAAAATCAGAACATGTAATTGGCATCCTTGGTTATGATTAAATTATTAGAACTTTGTTGTTTTTTTTTAGCAGGTTGTTCAAATGACAATTTTTAAAACTTTTTGTACAAGGCTTTATTTTCTTTTTGTGAGGAAAGACGTATTGGCGTATTTATATAAAAACATGACAAGTGCATAATAAGAATACCCCATAATCTGTTGTGAACAAGCACATGAATGCTTTAAACGAACATGTTAATCTCTTCAATTTTTATCTTTCCGGACTTAGCCCTTATGACATGTATCATGCATACGTAATTGAATCACAATTAATTACATGGTGATTAATTCATTGAGTTCGGTAAGATAAAATTAAAAATCAAAATTTACCAGCTTTCTGCCAGTAGCATTCAAATATTAAGTGATCTACAATGATCATGTCATACTAATTGCGCGGCTGGCAAAGACGAGCGGATTTGTACATCAAATTTCTTAATTTAGCCATCAAATTGGAGATCACAGTGCGAGCGGCCCGTTCAAATACTGGAATTGCTGGAATTGTAACTATATGATATTAAATTTTGACAATGTCGATTAAAATCAAGGATTCTTCCGTTTTTTTTGTTGCAAAATTGTACAGGTATTATAATATAATAACAGTACTATATACAGTGAGTATTTACGTAGAGGTGGATAAGTCTTAGATTCTTAACCTCGGCTGAGCCTCCCTTAGCCTCGTAGTCAGCCTCTACCTTATTACATTCTAGCATCACATTCCGAAATCACGGTTATAGACCACGCTTATATTACGTAAGGCATTACAACATAACTTCGTGGGAATCAAGGCAGCTATTAACAAGATGTCATGGTGTACGTATAATTTCACCGATAATCAAGTTTATTTCAACGACAACTATTCCACCGACAGCTCATTCCACCAACTAGTTTTTTTAAAAAAAAAAAATCGCACTAACATTAACTCTAATTCTAACTGACCCTAACGAAAATGACCAGAATTACTTAGTCGATGAAATGACTGTCAGTGAAATAAACTTGTCGGCAAATTGACTGTCAGTGAAATATGCTTTCGGTGAAGTTATTGTCAGCGAAATGATCGCTACCCGAAGTCATGTGTACACATCTTAGTTATGTAATTGCATTGCAGATTTAAAGTATCACATTGTTTCTTATTGGTTACGCCATCTTAGAGAAATTTCATGTCACATGTTATCCCTGTTTGTTCATTATTATATTGCTTTTTTATTATATAGATAGCCGTTTGTGCAAATGTTCTTTTTACAAAATACGATTGGTCAATGCTCTCTATAAAAAATTTTTGACAAAGAAATTTCGATTATGTTCTGGATAGATTGAATCTACCCCGATCATATTCCAAACTGAAAATTCCATAATATAAACTAAAATTTCGATGTTGATATTACTCCAGAAATATTTTAAAATTTTTTTAAAATAATTATGACCTAGTAATGGTTAAATTCATAGGAATAAAATTTTGAAACTTTTGGGAAATTTTCTGGTTTGAGAACAATTATTGAATATGTTTTTACAGGACCAATTTTTGCCTGGATTATCACCCTATTCAAAGTAGAAAATTTAGTTATAAATCAAATTTTTTATAGTTGCTTCAGAAATATCTTAGTTAAGATAGATATAAATTTGGAACATATTACTGTTGACAATTTACAAATGTACTCTCGATAAATGCATATTATATCGCTTGCTGGTCTAATATAGTTTACATAGTATAACAATATACACATTAACTACTATGCAAATGCACAAACAAGTACATTTTTACCTGACACGTATTTAGCATTAACCAGATAAATAATTTGCCAAATGAAGAATAAAAAAGAATTTGATGCTATGGTTTGATCCAACATTCAGTATATTTTTATTTTCAGGCTATCAAAGTATGATCAAAAAAAAATATAAAAAAAGTGATTAAATATTATGAAATAAAAAGTAAGTAAAATAATTTGAAAAAATAAGCAAAATGATTTGATTGCAAAATAAATTATTTTTAGCTAATTGGAATGTTTGTAACTTAGTTTTTTTTAATTTTACTTTATATCACAAATTGAAGCTTTAAAAATTTCAAGACTCATTTAAATGTAATCTGATTTTCTCTATCTATTACAATATACTTATTCACTTCAATTTTAAGAAATTCTACACAACAACATTAGTAGTTATACATAATAATTTCAGTTTCATCAAAGTTTTGAAAGTATAATATATTATTTTTATAAACTTCTAGATTTTTTATTTACTGCATATATGTAAGCATAGATATTTTACCTTCATATTCATGTTTAAAATACAATCAAACCTAATTATAAAACACTTATTCTTTAAGTTCAACAGATGTTCTTGAACAATATGCATTTTTATTAACTAAAAGTTTTGCCTATATAATAATTTGTATTTAGTACATTGATATTTGATATTATATACAACTATAACAAATTTATACGCTGCAATTAAATAATTATTTTATAAAATGTCTTTTTTATAATTAGCAAGTTATGAATTAATTACTATTTTATATTTAGTTTACAATTTGCAATATTTATAGATCTTATTATTTGTTATTTAAATTTTTATTCTATATTAGTTTTATTAATAAATAGTGTTTTATAATAATTACAATTCTCCTATTTTAAAAAGAATTTTGTAATTTAAGTAAATATTTATTTTAATATAGTTAAAATCTAAATTAAATATAGTTATATAATAATACTTAATCTTTTGAAGTTCAGTTTTTTTTTATATTAAGATGATCTTTTTAGTTTTTTAATTTTTATTAATACTTTTTTGGTAATGTATTCCATAAAGAACTTTTATAGAAAAAGTATACAATTAGTTATATGTGTAACTTTTTTATATTATTTATTTAAGAAGTTTGCTTCAAGGTTTTTTACTAATTGTTATAACTAGCACTTTTGCTTGGATAATCTATTTTAAACTTTCTGAATTTGTAATTTGTATTAATATTACTAGGTTATGTTCAGATCATTGTCTTAACTTTATAACTATTTTATTATCAAGATAAACCTCTTAGAGTCTTTTGTACCTATTTTTTATAGCTAATCTGATATTATTATAGCAAAACCAATACTTTTAATTAGACTACTATTAAATTGCTATGTTTTTACAATGTTTATTTAAATCTTAATACTATTTTATAATATATCTGAAATATTTTAGTATACTCTGCATTGTTTTTAAACTTCCAATTTAGATAGACTAATAGGACTATAACTAGTCTATTGATATATTAGATTAGCTTAATAATATTTTTTCTGGTTTACTTTTAGCAGCCTAATTGGTAGTATTTTCTACTCAAGATTTTTATCAATCTGACTCCTTTATATTTTTTTTTTTTTTTTTTTTTTTTTTTTTGCACTTTTGCGCCAAAGCCAGTTGGTTTTTTTTTGCTTTATTTTTGTTTTAGTTCAAATTTATGGGTACATTTTGGGG